TTAAGACAAAAATGCTTCTATAGATCTTAACCTAGACAACTAGCTTAAATTCTACTAGCAAAGAGATGTAACTAAGCTGCAGGATGCTCTACGCAACTTTTAAGCTTCTAAAGACTAGGCTGCTAAAGATCACGCCTTCTACAACAATAACAATAAAGATAATAATAATAATAAAAACAACAACAACAATAATAATAGCAACAGTAACAATAATAATAACAATAATACAAGAAGGAAATTAAGTACTCTAACAGAGCTTCTTAGATTGCTGCGCTTAAGACTTTAAGCTCTATGTAATGCATAGAGCAAGTTAAAGTTAGCAGATAAACAACAGCAATACTTTAAAGAAGCAGACTAAGCCTAAGCATTAGCCTAAGCATTAGAAAAATAGCTACTATGTCTGTACGCAGCAGCAGCGTCACGGTTTAGATACAAGCTATCGCGCACGAGCAGGATCACGTATCTATGTCACATGATGCTTGTGCGCGAACCTCTGTGCATAAACTTCTAGATATCCCCTTTTTTCTCTATATAAAGGAAAGACAAGAGTAATAGAACTAGAAACATATTACCTTTACTTTACCTACTTTATACACTATGTACACTGTACACTACTCTTACTTTTACTACTTAAGCGCTTATACTATAAGTAGCTAGCTATTAGAGCCTATTTAACACTAATTAGTAGTTAATTTAATTAACTATAAATTAGTAAAAGTAATAATAAAGTACTTATACTTTATAAAGTACTTTATTTTATTACTTATTTTTTAGAAAAAGTAATAATAAAGCACTTACACTTTATAAAGTACTTTATTTAGTTACTTATTTTTTAAAATAGTAGATTAATTTTTTACATTATACAGTAAGCTCTGCTACTATATAAAGTAAAAAAAAGATAGTATAAGACGCACACTAAAGCTATTAAAGCTATATAACCTAGTAGCTAGATAATAGTAGATTAATCCTTTACATTATACAGTAAGCTCTACTACTGTATAAAGTAAGAAGAAGATAGTGTAAGGCGCATACTAAAGCTATTAAAGCTATATAACTTAGTAGCTAGATAATAGCAGTACCTATGTAATCTACTAAAAAAGTAATTAACTATACTATTATAATAAAATTTTACTAGCAACTAACAACTTTATATAATAATAAAAAATTTTATTATATAAATAACTTATAAAAAACATAGAAATATTAGAGGTAACACTATAAAATAAAACTAGCCTAAAGTACTAAAATAATAAGATTAATATGTTAAAAGCTTTAATAAGCTTATAAACTTAATTATATATAAGTTATATAATTACTAATTTATAGTTATATAATAACTTAAAAAGGCGCTACTTTTCTAAGTTTATATATAAAAAATTTTAAAAAATAAATACTATATAACTTCTTAGCACTTAGCTGCGCATTTAAAAAAAAGCTTATATAAGTGCTAAAAAATAAAGAAATTATACTATAGCTAAGCACTAAAGGTACTTAAGCCTAGAAGCTGTATAATATAGCATAAAAAAGTAATTACACTAAAAAGGCTTTATACATAACCTTTATTACTATATAAGGCTTTATATAGAAGTAGACTAAATATAATGCTACTATTAATATTAAACATACTAGTATTACCTACTTCTACACCTTAGCTAGCACTACACTAATTACTGTATAAATAATACATACTACCCTACCTAATGCCTGCTCTACACCCTTAATTATACACACTACTAATACTACCTATATAATCTATACTACATTGCAACTTATATAAACTTCTACTTTAAAAAAAACTACTAAAGAAAAACTTCTAGTAAATAAAATTATATAATTTTAAAAAGTATAAAAAAAATGTTGCAACTGCTAATTAGAGAGCAATAAGAAGCAAGTCTATTAACTATAAGAGGCTTATAGAGAGCCTGCCTATGTAGTGGGAGCTCTGGCGCCAAGTGTCTTAGGCTGCTTGTCCAAAACACAGGTGCGACACTAGGACCATGTGCTCTCTTACGCGACAAAAAATAATAACTATATAAGTTAACTACATAACATTTTTATAAATAAAATAAAGATTTTTATTAATCTATGTTAATAGCTAGATATTTAGAAAACTTAGTATATAAATATCTTTCTAGATATCCTAAAAAGTTAGGTAAATATATACTATATATATAATATAGGCTCTAGACATAACTAGAAGCATTTATATAACACCTTAAGTAGTTACTTTAACACTAATGTAAACTATAGCTAGTACTAAATAAACTAGATAATAATAACTTTTATATAATACTAATAAAAAAACTTTAATAAAAGTTTATATAAAGTTTTTAAAATAATAATTAATAAGCTTACACTTATATAAAAGGCACTAAAAATAAAATTTTAAAAAGATGTTTTACTACACACTACTATTATATAAGCTTATTAAGGACAACTAAAACTAGAATATACTATATTTACTATTAAGCTTTTATATAAAGCTTTATTTAGTAACTTATAAGTATTACTTTAAGTTACTATAAACTAAAGGGTAAACTAATACCTCTAGAAACTACCTAATGTATACTACATAAACTGCTAATATAACTTTATATAATAAAAGTTTATATAATAAGAAAAAAGCTTCTCTTTACATAAAAAAAACAACATAGAAAATCTTTATTTAAGTTTAGGCTATAATTTAGAGACAACTATACATAAATAAAAAAGTGCTTTATTTAGTATAAAAAAATGTTAGTT